TACCAAACGAGACGCGATATTTTTCAAAGCGCAATTTCGACGGATGCTCACTTTTGGTACGGGGCGCATTTTCACAATCTGGGACAGTTCCGTTGGCATTCTCTTCTTGCCGAATGAATAGTTCTGAATACCGTATACAGAGTTGTTCGCAAAAAATTTCCCTTTTTAAGACTTTTCCCTTAGACAAGGCAAGAATCCATACGAGCAGGTCAACGAAAACTTGGATTCAACATAAAAATATCGATCTTTTGGAACCGCCATCATGTTCTCCTGATGTAAGTCTTATTGAGAAAATCTTGGGATGGCTGGAAAGAAAGGTTTACGACGATAATCGTGAACTTAAAAAGATTTCTGAAAGTCACAATTTTAGAAAGATGGACTTTATTAACCCCAGAAATGGCTTCTCATTGCACCAACTCAATGCCAAATCGAATATTCGCACTTATTAATTATAATGGTAACACAATAAATTATTAGGTCGAGCTCAAACAAATCCTCTTTTAAGATAGGTATTCTAACAAAAAATTTAAGCTTTAACAGCAATTCAAAGTTGAAATTTTTATTTGTTAGAGCCAATTTCAAGCATTTACACCATTTTTTCAAAGCTAATTCTCATTAGAAATACAACTGTGTTGAATAAAAAATTAAAATTTCACTAATAAATATTATTCTGTTAAATTTGAATAAGTTTTGGAACCGATTACACACTAATTACTTTAAAAATAAATTTTGTAAAATTTACTGTTGTTCATAAGTTTCAAATGTAAAGTGCGCATCTGAGACAATATCAGCAAGATGTGCTAATTTATTGCTTGTGTATCGAGAAAATTTGGCAACAGTTATCTAAATTAAGTGGTCTATAAAACAAGTACAAATAAGCATATACTCGTAAATATGCAGATATGTAAATGTATGTTGAACGTTTGTATGTTGTGATATGCTGTGCTATAACTTTTACTTAGATATCTTTGCTAAGATCTGCTCTGCAATGCGGCATTTAAAACGCAAATGCAAAACTTTTTAAGCGTCAGATTTTAGCGGCAGGCCTCTCCCGCAGGCGCTTAAAGCATCGAACTTCGGAATGCCAAAACAGAGTAACAAAAATTACAAGATGAAAAAGCAAATAAAAGATTTTGCTTTTTGAACAGGCATACATACTTACATATCAATAAATACCCAGTAGGAAACTTAAAAGATGCCTCGCAAAAAACTTGTAATAAAATAGTGCCGCATTCGATTCACAATCAGAGCAGTGATGGATGTTATTTTCTTTCAATATTATTCATTCTTGAATAGAGTAAAATTTATCCACGCAAAATGCATCTCCTATGTTAGGTTAAGCTAGGTTAAATGTTCTATCCTAATAGGGATCTAACTTGGACAGCTTATAACACCGTCCCGTTGTTGTCACTATATCTCCTATACAATTTATCAAAATGACAGACGTAAATCGACGAAATACTTTAAAGCTCAAGTACTTCAATTGGTCTCCTACGCTCTACTCTAAGTCAGAAAAACCACGCAGTTGCGCAGAAGCTGGACGTCGACCAGCACACGCGAAGGCCATAGGATCGAGGAGGATAGAGAACTTGTTCCTCCTCCGATGGGAGCGATAAAATAACCCCCACTTGTTTTGCAGTTTCGACCGATTCCGCTTTGAACACGCACCCAAACCAATCTTTCAATAAAGAAGATTGATGTTATATTTAGTGAGAATAGACGCTTTTTGATTAATTTGAATTATTGCCGCTCTGCTGCCTAAGTGAATGCACATTCCTCTGAAAGCATCTAGACTTCGAAGCACTAAGTCTACTTCTGCATTAATAGCAGCCACTTTTAAATGAGAAACACTGCATTAGTCCAGTATCCTGAAGCTAAGCTTGGCGGTAACCTTATTTCAGAAAACGGCCCCTCCAACCTCCCCCTAGCTTCGGCCCATCCATCAAAAAGAGCGCTACGCATCTTTTTCAGCAAGTTCTCTTTGTCTCAAGTCTGTAAGCAAGTGACCTTTGTGACGCAGTGGTTCAAGTTTACAGGGATGCAGGAGGAGACAATTACGGCGTAACTTTGTTTTAACCTCCTCATGTACGCAGCTTCTATAAGCCTTAGAGCAACCTTCTCAGCAATGCACCTGCCGACAATATCGGTGAAAAGAATGACATGAATTCCTACTGTTGGAGTTGTTCTTTGAACATTTTCAAATTTCTTAGGGAGCTTAGTCTTCAACAGTATTAAATTCGGAGAAATCGGAGCTGTTGGGTAAAACGTTTAGCCAGTACATTCAGTTGACTTTGACGATAATACATTTTTGGACAATGACATAATACGTAATTATTCATTTATTCGAAATAGTTCTGCTTAATTAATCAGTGGATGCTAGGAAAATCTACTGGGTTATTACGAATTTCGTGTGAAGGAGATAACGTGTTTACCGAAAAGTTCTGATAATCTTAAAATATTTTCACTTACAGAAATGTTTGTCCACTAGTATATACTTATATACTCCTATATATGTCTTTATGTTTTTATGTGTTTATGTTTGTATGTATCGGTTAGAATAGTTTCGAAATTGTTTCGGTTGAGTAAAGTTTCCCGACGGTAGCCAGCAAAGCAGAGCTCTAACTATTTTTAGCGGCTAAATTAAAAAGTTTTAAGCGGTACTTTACGTTAATTGATAAAAAAAATCTGCAAAACTCGAAAATGCTTAAATTCACTATTATAGTTAATATGTATGTAATTTTATATAATCGTGATATTTGAGCATTTAATTCACTTCACTTTACACTACATTAAATTTGTGTCTGAAATGAAAGTGAAACATTATCTCTTTTCGGATAGTTAGTCAAGAAAGTGTGACAACTAATTTTTTTCAAATAATGACAGAATAGCGTTGCCATATCGCCAAAACTTATTTGTACAACATACCTCATTACTAGCCTGCATTTTCATTTCATTACAATAAAGTATTTTGACATGCTATGTCATAAACGAACTGTCAAGCTTTCATAATATTTTAAGCAAAGCTAATTGACGTCACAAACTAAAGAATTTTCCTGTTGAATAGATTCAAAAACAAGTAATTGGATAAAACTGTCGTAATTTCTACTCCATCGCTGTATGTCACAATACTTTAAAAACGTATAAATTCTAATTCTATATGGCAGAGTATATCTATATGTGAGCGAAAAAAATGTCAAGTAAATGGGTAAAGGATGATGCCTTCTATAAGGGAGATCCATTTTCGATGAACGATAACGAAAGAAGAAGCCTTTAGTATGGCGGTATATATATTCTTTAACTTTTCAATACAAATTATGGTAACTCTTGGTAATGTAATACATACAGATATGTACATTGTATCGTTTATATTGGTTGTCAAAAAAGTTTTGCGGTATTTCTTGCGGTAAACTGTATCGGTTCCATAAACTGCAAAATTAGCGGCTAAAGATGCATTTTTGCCTTTATCGTAGTAGTACTGTAGAATATGCCGTATTTTCTCTTTATTTTGCTCCATGTTTGCGACGCTATAACTCACGAACGACTTAAAAGAAACGACAATCAATCATCACACATGTTAGCGTGTGAAATGAACTTTCCAAAAAGGTATAGCATGACCCGATGCGACGGTAAAACTAGAACTATGCGCTCTCAGCGCCAACGAGCGGAAATACCGCAAGACTTTTTTGACAACCTAATATTTTTGATTCGTATAAAACAGCGATATACAAATACATTGGGTACGTGAAAAAGTCTTTTCGTATTTCTAACCAAACTCAAACTTATTTTTTTATAATAAGTAATTTTCACAGTCCTCTCATGAAGTCAAGTTCACACCATTAAGGGATATTTATCTGGTAGTCCGATAGTGCAAGGTCAGGGCTATATGGTGGATGCATCAAAATTTCCTAACAAAGCTCTCCCAGTTTTCGCCGAGTCATCAAAGAAGGGTGGCCCTTTCTGTTGATCAGTTCTGGTGTTTTTTTTCGATAGCTTGCTTCAATCTCATCAGTTGGTGACAGTAAATTTATAATTAATCATAGTGTATGATTCCTTTCCAATCCTACCAAACACTCAGCACAACCTTTCGAGGCGTCAGTCCTGGCTTTGTGACCATATGTTGAGCTTCACCACGCATGAAAGATGATTTTTTCGCATATTATTGTCGTATTTGATTACCTTTTCGTCTTCTGAAATGGTTCGTTTACACTTCGTTTCAGCAAAGAATCGCAGATTAATTTGGACACTAAATTTTTCACAGACAATTCATTTGGTACCCAAACATCGAGCTTTATTTGTAGCCAGCCTTTTTCTATGGTTCAAAACTGTTTGCTGATGAATGCTAAGTTCCCTATCGATGTCATGGCTCCTTATGTGACGGTCCTGGTCAATCTTTTTCACAATTTCATAGGCTTTTCAACGAAAGGTCGAGCAAATCGAGGTGCATCTTTAACATCGAAATTTCCAGAACAGAAGAGAGTGAACCATTGTTGTACTATACGAACTAATACAGCATCGTCTCCGTAAATTTCACATATTTCATTAGTAGCTGGCGTGGCATTCTTACCTTTTTTATATAAAAAAATTCAAAACATAGCGAATTTCATCATTATTTTCACTCATTTTTGAACAACTGTAACTTTTTTTTACTCCCCGGAATTTAATTTTTTTGGTTAAATAAAGCTTGAAATCTCACCTTTCCAACAACAGATGGTATGACATAATGTGATTGGTAGTACTGGAGATATAAGACTGCAACAACATCTACTATTGAGAGACTTTTTCGACTACCCAATATACATAGGTACATTCTTATTTAATATTTGTAAGGAGTAAATATTTTTGACCTCCGCCATTATGTCTCATAAATTAAAGCAGTTCATTATTTCACTGCCCTCATTTGTACTTGACAAGAACAGAACCCATAAAACTATGCTTAACCAATTAACTTACAGTACTTTTTACTCTAATCGACTATGCTCTCACTGCATTTTCTCTTTTAGCGCCGATCGAGATGGTAACTCTGAGTTGACAATTCAGGAACTTGGTGTTTACATAAATCAGAAGATCTTGGATCATATTGAGGAGGCGATACAGAATAATCCACATGAATTTCAGCGTGTGGACAAATCTCCCGCCGATGGCTTAATCACATGGGAAGAATATCACACTTTCTTTCTCAAAGAGCACGGCATGACTGATGCAGACATTGATGAGCACAATGAGATAAAGCATACAGCATTGAATAGAAAAGCGCGCGAAGATATGATGCGCGACAAGGCACGTTGGTCGGAAGCAGCACGCACCGATCTCTTTAGTCTCACGATCGATGAGTATCTTTCATTTCGACATCCCGAATCGAGTATATCAAATTTACTGGAATTAGTTGATGATTTACTGCGACAATTTGATCAGGATGGCGATGATCAGTTGACGATTGATGAGTTCTCCGAAGTAAATGTGGATGATGATGAGGATTTACGCAGAAAGTCGCTCATCTCACAGACGGTTGTGGAGAGAAGGGCGGAATTCAAGCGAATTATTGATAAGAACAACGATGGCAGGGCGGACAGGGAGGAGTTATTGAATTATGTAAATCCGAAGACGCCACGTTATGCGCTGCAAGAGGCGGCAACACTATTCAGTTTATGTGATGAGAACAAGGATGGACGTCTGACGTTGAACGAGGTAAGCGGAGAGATGCAGAATAAAGCCAAATTGCTACTTACGATGTATTTTAAAAATATTTATTTTGCTTCTGAAAATCTTTTTCTCTTCCAGTTAACTGAGAATGCGGAGATTTTCCTCACCTCCAAAATGATTGACACGGCAAACAGTTTCCACACGGAATTCTAAGTGCGCCAGCCAAAGTGAATTGATGAAATGGAGGGTGCCTGGGGAACTGACAATTGCAACAAGTCCGTGCAAACAGACTGCAGTGTATATAATGAATGTGGAAAAATTAGATTTAATTGAAATCTGCACAATTATTTGACTGCTCGGAAATTTAGTTTTCAGTTATTTCAAATACTTGGTCAGTTAATTAGACTACATTTTAATAAATTTATCTTAGCCACACTTTGTCAAAGAAATACATCTTTTTTCTCACATTTTTCAAAATGAAAATATTTGTTTTACCTCTATTTACAATTAACAAATGTTGATCAAAATTTTCTCGATCGTCAAACTGCTTATTGAACTTAACCGACTTATCGATAAATGGCACAAATAAAAAACAAATAATACAGATTGAAATTAAATTGTCAAGAAGTCAATTCGTAGAAATAAAACATAAAATTTTTTTATTACACTTTAGCAAAAAAAAGTGCTGTTTGAAATTTGGTTATAATTTATTGGTATAATATTATTATAAATACTTTTGTTAAGCAATAATAAATAAATAATACCAAAAATCATGTTTCGGTTACTTAAAGAGCGTTTTAACGCGCTCAGCTTCAAATTGTGGGTAGAATCTTTAGTAAACAGATGCTTATGCCAAATTATGAACCAAAAATATATTTATTATGGCATAGCCTATTTTCTATCCCAACAACTTCCTCCAGAGAGTAAAATGCAATAGTATGATATAATTTGAAAATACATTAATTTGCAAAGCAATAAATAATTTGTCTAAATTGAAAAAGTTGAAAGTTAAAAAAAAAAAATTGCTGCATTATTTTTTATAATTACGTAAAATATTGCATACTTATTTTAATTGACTATATATTTTCCTAATACCAGAATCGTTTCTCATTGTATTTTATTTACTAATATATATCTCAATTGGATATTATACAAGCAATGTGAATTGTTAGTGATATTATGTTTTAAGAAATTATTTTTGTAAAAATTAAAATTAATTTTTAAATAAATTGTTTCGCTTTTATATTTTAGAGGTTACAAAAATACTCAAAAATATTTAATTAAAATTTAAATTAGTAGATATATGTATGTATATTATTTCTAATAAAAAATTGTACAAAAATTTGTGAACTGATATTCCTTTATAATAGCTGTCTTCGATTCGCCATTTCCCTGCCCGATTCTGCACGCTTGCCGAAAAATTTACATATAATTTCAATAATAATAGTAATATCTAAATATGTTTCACATTACCAACAGAAAATTGATTTGAACGAGAGAGATCTCCAAAAAACGTTTTTTTTTTTAGACGAATTAAAGAACTTGCAACATTGTTGGGTGCATCAAGCTAAAAGCAGACAAAGAAGGTACTAAACCGCAGACTACTGCAGTATATTTCAATCTGAGGTCTTTGCTATTGCAAAAGCCGCGGAGCTAGCCTTTAATGCAGCTGCAGGCAATTCCAGGGTCAAAAACTAAGTAGACAGCCAAGCAGCAATCAAGGCAGTAACCTCCTATCGCATTTCGGCCAGAAGTGTCTTGGGAAGCAGGACAGCGGGGGAAAGGGTTGCCAGAAGTGAGCAACTTCACCTTTACTGGATGCCAGGCCACAAAGGCATTGAGGGCAATGAAAAATCCGAGTCCGTCTATACGACGACCTCGATGGAAGTGTGGAAAAGAGAATGAAACCCCAGTGGAACATGGGTGCAAAACTACAAAAGTCATGTGCACTTTTTCGTAGCTTTACCTGAAATTGAGTTTAAATTTTTTTATACCTTAACAACTTATACCATATCGCACAATTTCGGCTGTTGAGTGGTTTATCCCACTAATCTTATAAACTTATCAAGATTTCGCCATACAAAAATGACAGTGCAAAATCACTTTATCGAAATGATTTAAAACTGATCCAAGCTAAATCGCTCTGTGCGACTCTGATTTTGCGCCATCTCCTAGGCAACATTGAATATCTGTTACATTATCACAGCTGATTTAGACCTACAAAGGGAAAAAAATGTAAACAAACAATATTTTTTAAAGCAATGAATCTAATTTCACCTGAAAATCGACTTAACAAATGAAAAAATGCATCCATTATTTCTATTATATGGAAAATATTTAAAAAATGACGGCTTTTATTTCCAAATACTATATGATATCTTTTGATAAATATTAAGCGATGTGAATTCTTGAATGACAATAACAGCTGTTTATTGATCTTTCTAACGGCAGTGAGAACACTGTTGGGTTATGAAATGTTTAAATGTAATCTAATCTTTTAAATTTTCGGTCTGAACATGGTATTAGACACGTTATTTTTCTTCCTTTTCCCGACCGCCCATAAAATATTTCTTCTTTAATTTTTGATATATTATTTTCCGTTACCAATGGTTTTCATCTTTCTATTTCTATTCTTTCACCCACGCTACATACATACGTATGGGAAAATATTTATTTAATCAGAATTCTTAATATACGTCGTATGTTGCTGAGCAACTCGAAAATGATCCGAAAAAAATACGAATCAAGAGCGGTACATTATTATGAATGGGAGTCGCTACCGCCCAATGATAACCGAATATTTTTTGTTCCGAATTGGATGATATGGACTTGGATATTATGTGGTTCCAACAGGACGAAAGTCAATTAGCCGCTTCGTTAGTGCGATTTGGCGCTGTTAGACTATTTCCTGAGGGGATATGTCAAGTCTATGGTGGATGCCAACAAGTGAGCGACGATTGAAGAACTGCGTGCGAATATTGAGCGATAAATTGCAACTGTGTCGGCGACTTATGCTTGAAAACCATCGAAACATGAGTTCAACATCTGGACTTCTGCAAGCGTGCTCGTGCTAGCTACGCAAAAGAAATTGAGTTCCATACATAATGGCAGCGAATGTACTTTCACAGGCATAAAAATCATTGATAACCAAAACCGCTTTTGTAGCGCTCTTATTGAAAACCCCGTTAGGAATTAAGCGTAATAATATCGTATGATATCTAGACATTATTTATAAAATTTGGTGGATATTGCTTGAGTTGGTCATGAGATATGTATGTATGTACAATGTGTTCACATTTTAAACCACAGGTGTCCTCCTTACTGAAATTCACTGCAGAAATTAAAGAGTATTATCTTCATTTGCGTTTGAGTTATGACAGTGGTCCGATTACGTATATCTATAACACAGAACTGTTTATGGTGCCAAGGAAGTCCCATCAAGATATCTTATGTTTGGCTCAAGTTAAAGCTTTCATTGACAGACGAGTGACAGTTAGTCGGAATTCACATGATCATTTACATAACTATATGTGTATAACTGCATATCTATCTCGATTAGTTTAGGATGACAGTGTAAATGAAATAAATAAATTAAGAATCCTTTCTCAAAATGACAATTTAATCTGAAGGTGGTGAAAATGGAACCGAATTTATAATGTATTTTAAAACAATATGGGATCCTCATCTACTTAAAACTTCTAAGTAAAGAATGCAGCTTTTTGGAAAAAAACAAGTGCCATTTTTACCGAAAAACTTAGCAATATAAAAAAATACAATTTCGAGAAAGTCTTCTTTAAACTCCACTACAGCGAATTGGACAGGCAAACTAAAATTTGTAATATTTTGCCAATTAAATAACGTTTTAACCCTAATATTATACAAGTATAATAGTTATTTCTTAACTGGGCGCTTGGGCGTATAACTTGACTCGGCCCACAACCACACCTCCCTTATTTTGCAGATTCTTTGCTGCTTGCTTATTTATCATAAACTTTCATTTGGCTTTAAATATTCTTGAGTTCCCATTTCCTCGTGCAAATGTTTCTGCTTTATTTCCAATCACTTCCCCGCTGTCAAAAACAAAATATCACCGACTATATTCGCACTCGCGGGGTGCGCTTCCCGTTCATTTCTCCTTATATGTACATATGTACGTTTACGTTTTAACGAAATTGAATAGATGAAAAATTTATAGCGTACAGACAATTTTGAAGCTATCAAATACAATTCGCAGCTCAATGTCATTTTATCAGCCGTGAATGACGTACATTCATACGAGGCGAATGAGTAACGTAAAACGTGAGAGCAGAAGAAAAGCCAACATGAGTTAAAAGTACGAACCGACAGCCACCCACACAATTTTATAACGCAAACCAAATCGACTGCACCCAAGTCCAACGCCACCCCGTACTCGCATATTACTTTTTCGCTCCAATGTCATTTTATTGCACTGACGAAAATGCAGACTGCATTTTATTTCCTCTGTTCTTCCTGGCTGCCTGCTAAAGCTCAGCCTGAGCGCAGCTTTCGTTTCGGCCGCTGCTGGCTGTTGCTAGCGCGTTGTCATTGCCAATGCTGCCTTACCGTCATTTGCGTTGCTATCGCTTTACTGTTGCTTTTGTAGCTGCTGGCAATTTACACGTGCCACTATAAAAATGAAAATGCTTACAGATATGCCGATATACATCCATATATACACACACACACAAGAGTGAGCTCGTGAGGATTTATATATAAATCAGTGTGCGTGTGTATGTGTGAACAATGGTAATCATACATCAGCCATTGAGATTTCCATAGATATGCATTTGCATTTCACTACTACAGGATGTATATCCTTTTCCTTTTCCGGCGCTGTCACTGCAGTAAAACGTGACTGAGTACACGAGGCGAAAAATCAATTCTAGGGAATATAATACACAACACAACAATAGTTGTGCAGTTATAAGGCTTGGCTGGTGGAATGTAACTGTATAACTAACTGGCTTTCAAATTGAAGCTTTTAAATTGTTATAGATATCTTGTAGATATGATTTTCGCCACATAAAGCACCACATCGGGTTACTTAATTGTGACTTCAATAACCTCATCTACAAATAAGTTCATTGCTCTTATTGCGGTTTGCAACATGACTTGGCAAGCAAAATGAAAATAACTAAATTCAGCTCTTGCTCATACAGAGTATTTAAAAGTTTAAAAGGACATTAGTAATGATTTATATATATAAAAGCTGAACAATTTCGAAGTTGCCTATTTTTTTCAGAAAAAACAAAGATACTTTAAATTTAAAGGGAAATACTTATTATCATTCGAAAGAACATTATGGGCATTTATTTTTATACTCTCGCAATAAAGTTGCTAAGGAGAGTATTATAGTTTTGCTCCCATAAAGCTTGTTTGTATGTCCTAAAACTAAAAGAGTTATATATACCAAACTGATCAAGGTGACGAGTAGAGTTGAAATCCGGATGTCTGTCTGTCCGCCTGTCCGTCCGTCCGTGCAAGCTGTAACTTGAGTAAAAATTGAGATATCATGATGACACGTATTTCTTGGCTCCATAAGAAGGTTAAGTTCGAAGATGGGCAAAATCGGCCCACTGCCACGCCCAAAAAATGGCGAAAACCGAAAACCTATAAAGTGTCATAACTA